AAGGAACATTTTTGTCTCATCACCATGAAAGAATATAACGAAAACAAGACAATTCTCGGCAAAAAGATCAGAGCTATTTATATGTGGTATCACAAACCAGTTATTAATGAAGAATTACTCCAGAGCCTACCTAACTTGAAGATAGTTGCAAGCTCTGGAGTGGGAATAGACCATTTGGACCTGAACCTCCTCTCCCGCTATGGTGTGAAAGTGTCTAACACTCCATTTATTGTTTCCACTGACACTGCAGACTTGGGGATGGCTTTGATGCTGGCATCCTCCAGGAGACTTGTGGAAGGTAATTGAAATGCTTTCAGCCTTTTTAAAGAAAAGCTGGCTGTTCAAAACATGGAATTAGAAAGTGTGTGCTGCTGTGAAGGTAAGCTTAATAGTAGAAATACAGAAAAATACGAAGATGGAGATGTTAATCTGTCGTGCTGATGAGAACTTGCACATGGTGCATTCAATTTCTGAACAGATTTATTATCAAGGTAGATACATTAATTTTTCCAGATGGCCCTAAGTTCAGGCTTCTTCTCCTTCAGTCCATAGCCACTTACTCATTCTACATGTTCACTGCAGTCTTGCTTTTCAAGTTTTAATAAACAAAGTTATTTGCAAGGAACCCTGAAGCCTGTCTTTGCCAAGCTGATACCAATTTGAGTCATTATGAACAAACTGTCCAGAAATTTGTCCACCGTGCGCTGTATTTCTTCTCCCTGTGAGCTATGGTGTTTCTGTAAGATGGCTGGGAAACATATTTTGGCTTCGCTGAAAGTCTTTTGATGGTACTACAACATGTATTTCATCAGTTACACTATTCAGTGCCTACAGCATAGGTGATATCTGTGGCACTTTCAGTTACATTAATGCTGGTGATGAACTACCATGAGTAGGAAGCTGTATTGCTGAGGTGCATTTTAATTGAACAATAATTTGTACTGCAGACAAAGAAAGATTATGAGTAAGTTTGGTGTTGTACATCAAAGTGAGGTTGCTGCTTTGGCCCTTCCTTTCCTTGTCTTCCAAAAAGAGTCTGGATACACTTATATCCCAAGGAAGGAATCAATGTAAGAAATTGTGTTGCCAGTGCAGCATTTTTTGAGTCTTGTCCAGAAACACAATAGCATTATGTTATTGTTCCTCTGTTTCTGTGTTGTGTTATGATAAAAAGTAACCAGATGCCAGGAGCCGTACAATTCTTTACATGACATTTTCCCTTTTTTTTTTCTTTCCCCTAAGGCTATCAAATGGCGGTTTCCCCTGACACTGAATATTTCCCTGCCAACTGGCTGGGGGCTGAGGTTTCTGGAGCTACTCTAGGGATCATTGGAATGGGCACCATTGGCTACAAAGTGGCTGAGAGAGCCAAAGCCTTTGAAATGAAAATTTTGTACCACAACAGGAAACAGAGGTAAAAACAGTTACAGCTCCACGAAAAGTCTACTTTGTCACTGCTTTTGAACATTATTCATAGCTTTCACTGACAAATTAATCTCGTATGCCCCACGTGTTAGGATAGGATGATATGTTCTCTGCATTACTGTTGAATATTGTAGGTGTTGGGAAGCAGCGAGGGGAGCTGCTCCCTAAGTGATAACATGGCCAGCAGGGCAGAGGCCTCTCTGGCCAGAGCCCAGGTGTTCAGCATAGAGACCATGGCCAGGTTCATCCAAAAGTCCAAGCCATCAGGCAGGTTCATGGTGAGTGGGCTGGGCTGAAACCAAACCAGGGAGCTGCTGTGACGTACATGTAGCAGGGATGCAGGTAGAAATACCTCAGTCATCCTTTTAGAATCAGCTGGCCACGAGAACTGGACTTGCCAGCCCTTTGGCTGTCTTCTGTATGAAACACACGTGCCTTTCTGTGTACCTGTTTGTCAGGGCCCGCTCCCACATACCGTGCCTCATTTACTTCTGTGGGAACCTGGTGGGAGCAAGGCAATGCACGCCCTGATTTATCCTGATATGGATCAAAATGCTGGCTGATCCAGCATCTCAGTAGGTAGTTTCAGTGCGACAGTGCTGATACTCATAGGAAGCAGAGTGCTGGTGACACAGATTTCTGAAAATTGCCCTGCCCTGCCTCATCTGTTTCCTCAGCAATTTTCAGATGAGTTATTTTTCACAGGGAAGGAAATTCATGTCAGACATCAGTTTTGCATTTGGGTCGGAAAATAACCAATTCTTACATCCAGAAGCTGTGATATAAGTGCATTTATTTTATTATTTATTCATTGCATTTATGTGCATTTCTTACTTTCCTCCCATGGGTATAGTACTGCACACGTTTGTGTAGTGCACTTGATATTGTGGGAAACAGAGCTTAAAATTTTTCCTTATTGAATTTCAGTCAGATGATTAGCTAGCTGCTTCTTAATGAAAAAATGAAGAAGCATTTTCTCTAATGCTGATTTGAACTTTTCCTACAACTTATTGCTTACGATTAGACTTTAATTTTCTCCTCCTCCCTTCCCTCCCCTCCCAGAAACAAGGAAGAAGAAAATGCTGTTGGAGCCATCTACTGTAAGAAGATAGATGATTTGCTCCAGCAGTCAGATTTTGTGATGCTAGCTGTGAACCTGACACCTCAGACACACAAACTGATTGGGAAGAGGGAACTACAGCTGATGAAACCCACAGCTACTCTCATTAACATCAGCAGAGGTAGGGTACAGTATATATAACTGCCAGTGAACCATAATGTAATTTTATTAAGTTTTTATATCGAAAGACCTGGGAAAACCCAACTCCAATAAAGAGACTGTTACTCTGAAATTTTCAATTAAATTTCTGATTACTAGATTATTTAGCCCATGGTCATATCTCAGCAAAATATTTAAACATTTCCATAATGAGTAAGTACGTCTCTAAAATGTGACTGAGTTTGGAGTGTCAGAAGCCCGTGTGTATTTATATAACGTCTTACTTAAGCGTTTTATTTTCTTCTCTACTTAATGCAGTGTGCTTCCTAACATAGATGTAGGTGGCAAAGCTCACTCTGAAGCCTGGTGCTGTGCTTTATTTTATGCTGCTACATCCTGCCTTTTAAAATTCCCAATTGTCCAACTCTGATGTGTGTACCCAAGCTTCCTCCTTCTGGTTGAGCACCCTCTGCTGCTATTTCTGCTTTGTAAACATCACTAGCTCTACAATTTGCTTAACCATCATGCCAAAAAAGATGGTGAAAGAACTGTGTGGAATACAAAAATGAGAGTATCTTTCTTACTGTAACCTAGGTCTGGTTGTAGATCAGGATGATTTGGTGGAAGCCCTTCAAAACAAGGTTATTAAGGCAGCTGCTCTGGATGTGACATATCCTGAACCTTTACCAAGGTAGGGCATGTAATTAAGGTAATGTGTGTGCATACAAGTTTATGGGCATGTGAGAAATTACATAATCTTGTTAGTAATCCTGTACATAATGCATGTGCACTAGTCCTATTGAAATGATGTCCCCAGTCCTTCTGTAGCAGCCGAACAAAATCCATGCTGACTCATTTGGAAGATTTATTAAATAAAAAGCCAGGTATCAGTTTGAACTCTTAGTACACTAAAGTCATACAATTAGTTTTTAATTACTATTTTAAGCATCTTCAGCAGGTGCTGAAGAAGCACGCTCTCTGATTGAATACCTCAGCATTTCTTTTCTTTTCCCAGGGATCACCCTTTGTTAAAAATGGAGAATGTTTTAATAACTCCTCACATTGGAAGTGCCACCAAAAAGACACGCCTCGTTATGATGGAAAATATGACTGAAAGCATACAAGCAGCTCTTACAAATCGTCCTATCCCTTATGAAGTATTACTGTAAAGTGGCTTGCATTTAATGTTAACATCAATAGTGTTTATCCCAGTGTGAGGAAACAGTAATTTGATAATGTTTCATGTAATTAGCCTATATATGTTGTACAGAATAAATGTAGAAGTATGATTTTAATTAGATGGTTTTAATTTATGGGTTTAGTGGTTTTAATTTATTGAAATAACAAAAAGTGATTCTGTGCGAAAAACTTCCATATTTTGTCATGAACTTCAGTGAGAAACTCAAGAGTCTAGTCTTAAATTGGTATGATTCATGCTGTTTGCATCCTCTTAGAATGGCAGATCAACGTAACGCTAAACCAAAGGACATTTTAGTCATTACGTAGCCCTGTATTTTGGTGCCGCTCATGACCTACAGCAAACTGCGGCAAACTGCAGACAGCATTTTAGACCAACTGCTCCTGAAAGTCCAGCAGCAATGGAACTATTCTTTCTTTGGAGAATAATTTGCAAGGCCTTTGCTGGTACAGCCTTCTTATAGCAATGTAGCAACCGCATTTGTTTTCACTTCTAAGATAACTCAGTTATGCAAATAATGGAGCCTGTGCATGAATTGTCTGCACAGGGCTTGGGGTTGGCTGTGGGGTAGGAGTCTGAATTTTCCCATTTTTTTCCATGAATTTTCCATGTCACACAGGCACATTCCCAAGTGATGTTTCATTGCTATCAAACCTTTCTGGTGGGTTCATTTTTTCTTGTGTCACTCCTTTATTGCTGTTGTGGTTTACCCCTGGCAGGCAGGCAGCGCAGCACCACACAGCCGCTCACTCTCTTTCCTTAGGTAGGATGGGGAAGAGGATCATAAAGGTAGAAGTGAGAGGACTCATGGGTTGAGATCAAGACAGTTTACTAGGTAAAAGCAAAAGCTGTGCGTGGAAGTGAAGCAAACCAAGGAGTTCATTCGCTTCTTCCCATCGGCAGGCAGGTCTTCAGCCACTTCAGCAAAGCACAGCTCACCATGTACTACAGTTTTTTGGGGAAGAGAGATGCCATCACTCTGAATGCGCCCCAAAATCCTTTCTTTTATTGCTGAGCGTGAGGCGATGTGGCACAGAAGATCCCTGCGGTCAGTCTGTTTTGGCCGCGTCCCCTCCCAGATCCCGGCGCACCCGCAGCCCCCTCGCTGCCACCACCACAAAAAACCCCAAACCCAGCCTCCTGTGACGAAAACCAACCCTCCCCCAGCCCAAACAGCGCGGCCCAGCAGCAGGCCGTGGTCTCCTCAGCGAGGCGGGGCTGTGTGGCGTCTCGCCTCCCTGGGGGCAGGCGCTCGGAGCCCGGGGCCGGCTGTGGCGGCCATGTGGCGGAGCGGGCGGGCGGCGGTGGCCGTGGTGGGGCTGCCCTGCTGTAGGGCGCTGCGCAGCTCGGCCCCTGCCTGCGGCTCCAGGAATCTGCTGAAGAAAATGCTGCACAAGAAGAAGTAGGTGCGGGGCTGTGCTGCTGCCGGCTGGGGGGACGGGGATCCGCGGCCCGGGCTTGCCGGAGCACCGGGGAGGGTGAGGCCGGTTGTGGTTGTCCCACGGGGCGGGGATGTTAGTGCTTGTCCCTGCCTTGCCCCCCTGGTGTAGCTTCTGCTGTGGACGGGAAGCATCGCTGCATGTCACCCTAATATATAAATATTACGTGGGAAACTCAAACAGGGTACCTACCCGTTATTCCTCTGAGCTGATAAAGCTGTATGCTTTTCCTTTTTCCAAAAGAAAGAAGTTTTGGTATGACAGCCCAGCCCTGGGGTCTAAAATGGTGAGTACAAGCTTTTAAAACGCTGCGTGCACCTCTTCCAGGGAGAACATGCTTATAATTCCTCCATTGCCTGTAACATTGGGAAAAGCATTTTCTGGTGGAGAAAGAGCAGAATTTAATGAGTAAAACTAGCACTCCAGTTTTACTGTGATATGCTAGGATTGCTGTGAGAGAGGCTGTTTGTCAAGCTCTTCCCTTGACCATTTCTTCCTTTGTGCCATTTTTTTAATCTGTACAAGCCCCAGCACTTCCCTTCGTGGTTTTGAGCCTGTCTCAAAAAACTGGTCCAGGTTAATACTTACGTATACACGTATCCAGATCATTTCCCAGTAAGGTTCTCAGCAAGTCTTGGATGCATATAACCTGTGCTTAGCATAAATGAGAGGATACACTGCGAGAGAAAGCTAACAATTTCTTATGTAAGTGGTATTGCTACTTTGTGGTAGCAAAAAGAACCATGAAACAGTGGCCAAGTGGAAAAAAGTTGCTTTTAGGTCAAGTACAGCATTGTGGTCTGCTCCTGTAAGAAGTGTAGGAGTGTGTGGAATAGATGTTCTGTGGATCCTTTTGGAAGTGTCTGTTACACGGATGCCTGTGATTTCAAGGAACTAGGTCTGATGATCCAGGAAATCTTCTCCAGTTTTCCTATACTGAAAATGACATTGTGCATGCTAGAGGTATCAGTGATTGGGACTGCTTTCAATTCTTATTGGTGGGAGGCAAATTCAGATCAGCAGTCTGGAGATAGTGGTACCTGTCACAGAATGACAGGCCTCTGACTTCATTTAATTACCAGATATGCTGGGATTTCTTTAACTTCTAGTTACAATTGTGCTCATAGTTCTCTGTGCAGGCAAACCATGTTGAGTGCATGAGACTTACCTGGAGAACAAATTATGTTTGCTTTTCAAACAATCACTGGTTTTCAGTTAACACCAGCTATATTTTAGAAAACTGATTTATTGAGCTACAAAACAGTAAAGTAAGAAATTTTGACTGTAGTACATGAAGGTCAAAGATTTTTTGAGTAGAAATACTCTTTACCAAAACATCTGATACATAAGACCTATACAAAGCCATGACAGCTGCAACAATACCATTCTAAGACTATACTTTGTGGTACAAAACTATATAAAATTTCCTAATGTAAGTTTGTAACAACTGTTTGTTTGTTTGTTTGTTTGATTTAAGATGTATGAGCCAACCAAGTTGACCTCTGTAGTGAAAGGTGACCATACAAAAACTAGGAAAGAAGATACCATACGCTGTAGAGTCTTGAATAACCTTATTCATAAAGCTGTGTCAGAGATGATGAGTACCGGTGAAGTTAATCAAGAACTTTATGACCTCAAGCTGGAAATCTGCAAGGCAAGTGAAAAAAGCTAGAGTTCCTGTTGAGCTGCTGTGACTTCAACTTGAGGCTGGTGTGGTGTGCTGGAGCCCCCAGGTACTGTGATGCGTGCAGGAAGAGTTTTGCAGCATTGCTGCTGCACAGCAAAATGCGCCTCAGTTCACCTTTCATGGGAGGAGAGTTTTGCCACTATTGCACCTCATTTAGTAGACCTTTGTCAGTATAATGCTAATGCCACTTAGGCCAACTAAAAAATGGTGTTGCTGGTATGATTTTATTCCTGTTATTTATACATGTACAATTTATATTGCCCTCTCAGAAGGAGGGCCCTGATTTTTACCAACATAGATGTATCTTTCCAGGAGTCTTTATGCAGCTGTGTGAGAGCTGATTCATCCCTGAGTTCCTTACCAGCTTAATTATGACCTAAATGGGGCATGAGCTTAGAGCAAAAAAGGTCAAGACTAAGACAATGGCATTGGCAAGCAAGGTTTCAAGAAGAATTTGAATTTGTAGCTAACTGTATCTCATTTTGTTATAATTCACATGTTTAAAAAGGATGTTACAACTGTGATTCAGGAACTAAGTCACTCTCCACATTCTTGTTTACTGTCAGTAGTTTTTTCTGCACTGTCTGCTGTTCTTTCCAAATTAAATGATACAAATGTCAAGCTCAAAAGCTTGACAGATTTAGCTTATTTGGTTACAAGCGTGGAAAAAAAATAATATGTCATAGCCGCATCTGTGACGGAATGTTTGTCATTTACAATTGAAATGGATCTTTTTGTTGGCTGATTTCATTCTGTCTTCAAATAAATGATCAAAATTTTTTTTAACTTCACCCATGTAATTTTATTTTTTGTATCAATATGTGCGTTGTCTTACAGACTATATTTCTCTGTAGGTCTTTAGGGATTGCTTATCTAACCCTTATGGCACATTTTCCTTCTTCTTGTCACTTGGTGCTTGGGAGAAGAGCCCAATCCCCACCTTGCTATAGCCTCTTTTAAGATAATTGTACAGTGTGATAAGGTCTCCCCTGAGCCTCCTTTTCTACAGGCTAAACAACCCCAGTTCCTTCAGATGCTCCTCATAAGACCCATTTTCTAGATGCCTTGCTAGCTTTTTTGCTGTTTTCTGGACACACGCCATCACCTCAATGCCCTTCTCATAGTGAAGGACCCAAAGCTGAATACAGTGTTCAAGGTTGGCTTTACCAGAGCCAAGGGCAGAGGGACAATCACTTCCCTAGTCCTGCTGGCCACACTATTTCTGGTACAAGCCAGGATGACGTTAGCCTTCTTGGCCACCTGAGCACACTGCTGGCTCATGATCACCAAGCAATTAACTAATACCCCAAGGTCCCTTTCTGTTGAGCAGCCTTCCAGCCACTCTTTCCCCAGCCTGCAGCATTGCATGGGGTTGTTGGCCCCAGGTGCAGGACCCAGCACTTAGCCTTGTTGAACCTCATGCAGCTGGCCTCAGGCTGTTGGTCCAGCCTATCCCTCTGCAGAGCCGTCCTACCCTTGAGAAGATAACACTCATGCCCAACTTGGTGTCTGTAAACTTACTGAGGGTCCACTCCTCTCATCTAGATCGATAAAGATATTGAAGAGAATGGGCCCCAGTACTGAGCCCTGGGGGATGCCACTAGTGACCGGCCTCCAACTGGATTTGACTCCATTCACCACGACTCTTTGGGCCAAGCTACCCAGCCAGTTTCTAACTCAACGAAGTGTATGCCAGTCCAAGCCATGACCAGTCAGTTTCTTGAGGAGAATGCTGTGGGAAACGGTGTCAAAAACCTTTCTGAAGTCTAGATAGACCCCATCCACAGCCTTTGAGATGGTAGTACCCGCATATTGGCTAAATATAGCGCTGTCAGTACCATGGAGGTGTTGACAGACTTCTGCATTTAATTTCAGTTAGAATGGAGACTGGGCAGTGAATTGCATGAAAAAAAAAAACAACTTCTTCAGGTACTGAACATAAACCATAGCTCTGTAAAGGCAACATGTAATTTTGGTTCTTAGAAGCAGAGATGGAAGAACAGCTTCTCTTCAGAATTTAGATACCTAGTTTGAGTCACTGCATGTTTATTCATCAACCAGAGGCTTTGTTGTGTATGAAGTTTGTATGTGTGTATATAGATACAAAGTTTTAAAGTCACGTTTGTCTTTTTACAGGTGTCCCTGGCATCAAACTTTTCAGCATGTCGTGTGTATTGGAATCCTGCTGCTATTACAGAGAATGAAAGTTATGTTGAAAGTTTACTGCAGAAGAGTGCTCCACGTATACGGTACTGCTGTGCGATGAACAGTTAGACTGCTTCATAAACTCCTAGCTGTGTTATAGTAACAAATGAGTATTTCTGACTGTCTAAATCTGACCTGTTAGGAATGCTTTTTTATTTTATACATTTGGAGTCAGAGCATCTCCTGTGATGAGCCTCACAGGGATGGATGGCTGTGTTAGAGCAGCTGTGAATTCTCCCAGTGAAGTGCAGCTGGTTTGCTTGGTTTCTCTGCTTTCATAGGGTTGGACTGAACTGAGCAGAAAGAAAGAGGAGTTTGGATAAAGTAGCACTTCATTGTACTAGTGATGGTGGCCTGAATATGCTGTACTTAACAGTAGGTCAGAATGTGATGCTGCACAAGAGGATTGGCAGTTACAACAGTTACCTCCTTACAGGCTCATTGTGCAATTCTGATCACTAGAGACACATTGGACCTCTAGAAGGGATGACTGATTTTACAGAAATCCTTCACAATACTCAAAACAAACAAACAACAAAAAAATGTTACCATGCATTATGATATGTGCACTCATTTCTGGTGGACGGTCCAATGAGTTTGCAGGACACCATGGAGACTTCTGTCTCCCTCTGTGCATGGCTAAACCCTCTGCTATCCAACCAGTCTGTTGGAGGGTCAGGATTTCACCTCATGGGGAAAGTGTCAGTGAAGCAAAATTGTAGGTCTGTTTCTTTTTCCTCCATTTCCCTAGGCCTGTAATTCCTGCTCCATCACAATGGCCTCCTTTACTCTCAATAGCTTCTGCACTTTGAGAAGGAATGTTGCTGGCTGGGAAAAAGACAAAGGAAGCTCAGTCAGTCCCTCTTGCAGACACCATGTAGTGCTATTGTCTTGCCATGCTGTGAGGGCTCTATCCCACCATTGTTCTCACTGTTACAGTGGGGATGAGGAAGCCAAATCAAGATTGGAAAGACTTGAACCAGCCTGTGCATATAGGAGACAAATCTAATACCATCACTACTTAGGGATCTGCAGCTAATAGTTCTTGTATGTTACACATTCAGAGTTGGGATTTTGCAGTGATGTTACTTAGTGCCTTATCACTAACCACAATGGATACTGGACAGACTGTTAAGTTTTGCTATCTGGATCCTTAAACATGTAGTACTGTTGGAATTAATTTAATGTGTTTTACCTTTCCTCGAAGTGCTGTACTGTTATTCGTATTGATGAATGTTGTATTTTTGCAGGTATCTCCTGATGAGTCAGCAAATTTTAGGAAATGTACCCCCGATAGTATTTGTAAAAGACAAAGAAGCTGCGGCTGTAAAAAAGGTAATTGTAATCCTTGACTCAACATACAAATATCATGCAAATGTAGGACCTAGATATCATAATGTTTGGGAATACTGAGAAAGCTGATTGCTCAAGAGCTATATATTAATTACTACATTAAAGATCGGTCTTTGTCTATACTTGTACTTCATGTTCCAAAGTATTTTAGTGAAGAATCTTTAGTAAGATTGATGATTATATACAATGTAAAAGAACCTTTGTAGCCATTGCCTCATTAACTTTTTTTGAGGCTACTATTAAAACTTCTGAAGTGAAAAGCTTGTGAAAGATAATTAATTAGGCTAAAAATAAATCCTAAAAAATGACATTACATTTTTAAGGAATAATACATGTTAGCCAATATATGGTATTGTCTGGCATACTTGATTATGTATAAAATGAGGTCTGAGGAGCTGTCTTCCATATTTTAAATACTATGCGTTTTTAAAATGTCCGTGAATCTAATCAGTGATTTTTAGTTTTATTTTTTTTACCCCAACTCTTTTCCATTTGTGAATTGTTATAATGTTTCTGGGGAAAGGCATATCTTTGCATAAGAGGATTTAAGCTCACTCATACTAATTTTTCTCCCTTCTTTTTAACTTACCTTTATTATTTGTTGGGGGATCCTGTTTCTGCTAGTAGAACGGGTCTCACCAGGCACTTGAGATTCACTCAGAGAGTCGACTCTTAAAACAGCAATAATTTAATGGTACTTACATATCAGCTCAAGCTGGGTGCCTCTAAGGGCGGACCCTGCTCAAAATTTTCCATGGGTTCTTGTACCTGTGCAATCTTTGTTTTTGTCCTCTATAGTCCAATCAGTTCTCAACACATATACATTATGTTCCTTCAGAATAGTGGTTCTTTGTTGCAGGGCAGGATGACTTCTGTTACTGCACAGCAGGGTGGCTTCTGTTATCTCAGCAGGCTCTGATCTGGTGCAGCCCTTGGCCAACACATCCCCCCTTTCCCCATTGGCACCACCCAGTACCCACACAATGCCATTCACAGTTGCTCAGTCACCACTGCATACCAGGTTCAGCTGATGCAGAGCTCATGCTGTGGTCTAAGGCTTCACTAAATTTACTCTACTAATGTGAAACAATAGCTACCTGAATTCCTTACATACCAGCAGCTTGTTTCTCCAAATACTCATTTTCTATCATGGTGTGGAAATAGTTTCAGAATAATGTTATTTGGAAATTCACTGTTACTAGGACTATGAAGTGAGAATTTTAGAAGAGAGGAGTGACACTATTGAGTGAAATTATGTGCAAAATTGGCTCCTCAAGCTGTTGATGTGAATTTAAAGGACATTAGTTGAAAAGAGTATGTTTTTCACATTTCTATGCCCTGAAGTGCCTTACTCTTAGATGTGTTACTATTGAGACCATCATATGTAAATTCTCTTAGTTACTTATGGGCTCATGTGGTGCATATTAGCAGAGCTGGAAGAAATAAGATTTCATACGCATAATGCAGTAAAATGGCTAGAACTTGTTTTGGTGAAAAATTCTGACACTTTGATGCCAGTGTACTGATCCACAGTGCAGATCTTTTTAACCTACATTAGCACAAGAATAAAAATGAACTAAACACTTCTGAAAGCTGTTTATGTTTGTTCATACTCTCCACCTAATCACAAGAATTTCTACACAACCTACCTGTGATTATGGAAGTGCTTTGTCTTTACAATCACTGTGTTATTAACATATCTAGATGGAGCTACAAATAGCTATTCCTGCAGGCTGTACCTTTCAGGGTGGTTATTATGGAACCTGTTTTGCTAATCACTGTATCTCAAACTTCTTTAAACAACCACTTACTCTTTCTGAAGATGAAAAACCCTTGCACCACCTTACCTTGAAGTTGTTTGAAGCACAGGCACCCAAAAAGTTAACCACTCAAGATGTGCAAAAACCCTCCATATGTAGCTCCTATCAGTGAATGGCACTAGAAAGCACTTGGATTATATTTTCATACTTTGAAGACTGTCAGATGTATGTAATCTACAGATTCAATAACTAGAAATAATGTAGCTGAAACTGATTTTTAAGCATTGCAGGAGAGAAGGAGCATCCTATTCAATTTTTGTTAAAAGGATTAAACCCTGAATTAGAAGGGAAGGAATGTAAAGTAGGAATAAAAATTTTGAATGAGATAAACTGTACCTAATTGTGAAAATTTTGTCATTACTGCATATAATAGATTTTTAGCATTTACTGATTAGATGTTAAAAGGGAACTTGAAACTTCCCTATAGTAGGGATAAAAACTTACAGAAATGGAAAAGAAACAGGCCGAGGGAGATGGTGTAGTTCAGCCTGGAGAAAAGAAGGCTCTTGGGACACCTTATAGTGGCCTTCAAGTACCTAAAGTGGGGTGACAAGAAAACTGGAGAGGGACTCTGCCAGGGAGTGTAGCAATAGGACAAAGAGTAATGGCTTTAAACTAAAGAGCTTAGGGATATGGTTTAGTGGGGACTGTTTGTGTTAGGTCAGAGGTTGGACTCGATGATCTTGAGGTCTCTTCCAACCTAGAAATTCTGTGATTCTGTGATTCTGTAAAAGAGGGGAGATTTATGTTATATATAAGGAAGAAATTATTCACTCAGAGGGTGTTGAGCAGGTTGCCCAGAGAAGTTGTGGATGCCCCCTCCCAGAAAGTGTTTAGGACCAGGTTGGATGTGGCTTTGAGCAGCCTGGTCTAGTGGAAGGTTCCCCTGCCCATGGCAGAGGGGCTGGGATTAGATGATCTTTAAGGTTCCTTCCAGCCCAAACCATTCTATGTCTCTGAAATCCTGGTGTAAGGATGTTATGAAAAATGATTTGGAAGGCTGAAAAAAAAAAATTACATCTATCACACAATCCCTAACGAGCTGTTCAGAATATACATAAGGCAAAAAAACTTTTTAAGAATAGTAACCCATGGCTCAGTTATACTATTTGACACAAACTTCCTAGGCAAGAAGGATAGTGTTTCCTGGCACTGTTGGAAACTAAAAAGTTCGTAAGATCTGATGTGATGTAATTTCATTTTACAGCCAGTGAAGAATTATACCCTAACGTATATTTTGCAGTAGTGAGATGTAAATGGAGGAAAAGGGCATTTTGAAATGGTTTTGCTAAGTATTCTAACACGTAGAAAAAAATTTTTTGTGTTTGTTTCTTGTAGAGGTATGAACAAAGTAAATTTAGTACAGTGCCTTTAATATCTATTTTCTTTGTGTATTTACAGGTTGAGGAATTATTATCAATTGCTGATTTTGGACCTGAAGAAGAAAAAGTACTATCTCAAAATGATTCCAGGTGAGCTTTTTGAATCAAAATGCTACAGATGTCCATTTTCATCTCTGTTGACCAGCTTAAATTTTATTTATTATTTGTATTATGTATTATTTATTATTTGTATAGGGTATTACTTGGCATGACACAAAGTATATTTTAATTAGATATGTATATTTTTGTTATCTCAGAGTTCAGCAATGTGATGCAAGGAAATAAAAGGTAGAAAAGAGACTTTATGGAAGACCTTGCCAATTAGGGGCCTTTTATTAACAGAAAAAAAAAAAACAAAAAACTAGGATAAAAAAAAAGTAATCATCCCAGAAATTCAATGTAGAATATGGTGTTTTAATTTGTCATTTAAGCTTTCTTTGTTAACATCACACCCATTTATTAAAATTGAGAGAAAATATTTCTTACTGTATATGCTCTAGTTTACTTTCATATTTTAGTTACAGACACATTTTTATAGGTTATTTTGTCTTTGGTTCTTGTGCATAGGTACCTTGCTGCAGGTTTGCAAATATAGAAAGGGTTTTGTATAAAAGTGGACCTCTGTTAAGCTTGAAAAATGACTGAATTGTCCTTTGTAACACTATACTTTATATGCTTTTGGAGGCAATTAACCCATAAGGTGATATCAGAACCTGGTGTTAAAAATCAGCTGTGTTTAACATCTGTACTTGAGGCAACACAGTCATAAGACCTTTTTACTTGCAGACCCAATACTTATTCTGGTATTAGTATCTTAACTTTTATGAGAGAAATATTTTTGGAACTTCTTAGAATTCAAGATTCACTGTGTCTGCAATCATTAAACATTAAAAAAAAGCTTCACAGCAGTAATATTTGTTTCTTGCTATTAGTCTTCTTATGAGAATATAAGCCTTGTATTTACCAATATAAATAGATTGCTCGCCTTCCATTTGTCCACTTTTATTCTGGCAGAAGTTTGGATTGTTGCACTTGTACATAGAATCACTGAATCGTAGAATGCTTTGGATTGGAAGGGAACTTAAAGATAATCTAATTCCATGCCATGGGCAGGGACACCTTCCGTTAGATATACCTGCATACATTTTAGTGATCAGTCTCTCTAAATCAACAAAAAGTTACTTAATTTAGCATTCTTCTACGAGGGATTTTTGGCTCTTGAGGAACAATGATGATGATCTACTAGCATAATGATTACGTGAACTGGAGGCTCTCGAAACCAAGAGCCTTGCACTTGTGTGCTGTAGTCTGTTGGTAGAAATGACTTTTCAGACTATCAGTTGCAAATCAGAACTTGCTTCTTAGTGGAAATTGCTTGTGACAGACTTCCCCACAGGGCACCTAACAGCTTGTTCTGTTTGTATCTTGTGGGAATACTTCTGTCTAGCTTAAGGTGCTACATGGTTATTGCTATGTGTGTCTGATGGGTACTAGGCACAGGCAGCTGTTTTTAACTTCTTGAAAAAGCTAGGAGTGGTCTAACTTCCTAGGGGCTCCCAGATCTAGTGCTCGCTCTGGAATGAAATTTTAATGTGTAATGTAGTTGTTTGCCCCCACCCACCCCCGAATCTGTTGAAAGGCTGACAAGATTATACGTAGCCGGTCCACACATAGCGCAGTGGTACTGCTTCCTTCTTAACATAAGGAGCACAATGCTGAATACAGGACATTAATAAAGTCAAACTGAAAGCTCTAGTTTATTTATAGATTCCTCAAGTTGTCCCAGTTTGTATTGTTCCTTTAATTATATGCAGGGGGAAAAATACATTTTTTTTTTCCTTTTCACAGTGAATCATTCTCTTCAGCAACTCAATCTTCTGATTCACCCATGCGATCTAATCTTTTTGGTATTGATCATGAATTGCTGAATAAGCAGATAATGGACTACAAAAGACTGAAAGTGTCAAGAGATACAGAAGGCATTTGCCGGACACAAAAACAGGAGCAGCAGCTGTCAAAGATTCAAAAGAAAATGAAAAAGAAAAAAATGAGGAATCCTCCTGATGATGACATCACACCACAGAAATACTTAATGGACAGATCCGAAGCTGATTATTTGGATGATAACAATGATTCAATTTCAGACTATGAGATAGAAGATGAATTACAGGAAGGGGTAAATGAATTGGAGGCAGGTGATGGCGAAACTCAAAGTCAGCCTCCTGTTAAACTGAAATGAAGTGGAAAAAGACACTGTTTAAAATGGATGTTGACAATGGTAAACATAATTAATTAATTAACTAAAACACTGAAGGATTACTTTTGTATAGCCTGTTTACCACTTTCTCTTTCAAAAAAGAAGTTTGCCACACATGGAGGTTTGCTAGCACAAGATGGTGTGTAAGAAAAGTTAAAATGGTGTTTGTGACGTTCTGTTAAGCAGCTTTAAAGCAGAGACAGTTGTAGTGATTCCAGCTAGACAGCAGTTTTTAATTACAAAACATACATAGTGCAACACTGTATGCTAAAACTTCTTGCAACTGTGTTATTTCCAATAAAATTATTGCTTCCGTGAAGAAATTTTATTTTAATGATTGATTTTTTTCAGTAATCTGGATAAGAATAATCACTAAGTGATGATACCTGCTATTTCAAGATCAGGTCAGGAAGGAAGAGGGAAATGAAATACTGATAGTGGAGTTCAAAGAGCAGCCTTCAGCACAGGAAGACCCAAAGAGGATGTTCTCTAGGGATCCTAGACTAATGGGGGCACTTACTCCACAAGAAGGTAAAACCCATTGAGGCTATGGCCAGTAAAGTTACAACCCTGAAAGAAAAATCAAGTAATTTATGTTAATATTTAGAAAATGATGATTGTGCAAAGAGAATAGTAATCAGAAAAGAATAGAGAACTGCTGACCTCTTGAGAAAAATTGGGCAAATCACTGACTGTGACTGAAAAAATGTACTGAAAATTCAAAGGTGGAAAAAAAGGAGCAAGGAAGAGTGCCTCAGTAACTTTAAGATTTAGAAATGAATAAGAAATCATATAAAATTGAGAAATGACCCTCCTTGGATATATTGACCTTTTATTAAGGTTAGGATAGGGTTAGGGTTGAGTTAGTGTTAGGGTTAAGGTTATGGATAGGGTTAGGGATTTGGGTTAGGGTCAGGTTAGGGTTTATGGTTAGGGTTAAGTCTAGTTTAAGGTTAGGTTAGGGTTAGTGGTTATGGGTAGGGTTAGATTAGGGTTAGGGTTAGTGTAAGGGTTCAGGTTAGGGTTGGATTAGCGTTTGGATTAGGGTTAGGTCTAGGGTTAGATTAGAGTTTTGGTTAGGGTTTGGGTTAGTGTAAAGGTTGGATTAGGGTTAGGGTTAGAGTTACGTTTAGATTTAGGGTTAGAGTTAGGGTTAGGTTTAGGTTTCACATTACATTTAGTGTTTGGATTAGGGCTAGGATTGGATTATAATTGCAATTAGAGTTAGGGTGAGAAGTACAGTTAGAGTTTGGGTAAGGGTTCGAGTTAGGGTTATGGTTAGGGTTAGGTTGACGGTCAGGGTTAGTGTTAGCTCTAGGAATGGATTAGAGTTTCTCTTAGGGTTAGTGTTAGGATATGTTTGGGGTTAGGGTTAGGTTTAGGGTTACAGTTAGGTCTTAGGTTGGATTTGGGGTTAGGGTTGGATTAGAGTTAGCGTTAATCTTTAGAGTTAGGTTTAGGTTTAGCTTTAGGGTTATGGTTAGGGTCAGGGTTAGGGCTGGGTTTTGGGTTAGGGCTAAGATTAGATTAGAGTTGGGACTAGGGTTAGGGTTTGTGTTAGGGTAAGGGTAAGGGTTAGGGTTACATCTAGGGTTGGATTAGAGTTTCAGTTAGGATTTGGGTTAGCATTAGGTTTTGTGTTATGGTTTGGGTTAGCGTTAGTTTTAGAGTTAGGTCTGGGTTAAGGCTAGGATTGGATTAGAGTTGCAATTAAGGTTATGGTTAGAGTTAGGATTTGTGTTAGGGTTCTGGTTCTTGGTTGGTTAAAATTACAGTTAGGGTTGGGTTTAGAGTTAATGTTAGTAGTGGGATCAGGGTTTAGGTTCGGGTTAGCTCTAGAGTTAGGACTAGGATAGGATTAGAGTTGCAGTTAGGGTTAGGTTTAGTGTTTTTTTTTGTTACGGCTACAGTTAGGTTTATGGTTATGTTTATGGCTAGGTTTGGATTAGGTTTAGGGTTGGATTAGGAATAGAGTTTAGGGTTTTGGTTGGGGTACCGTTAGGGTTAGAGTTTGAGTTTTGGTAAGTGGTATGGTCCTGGTTAGGCTTAGGAGCATTGTTATGTTTAGGGTTAGGGCTAGGTTTTTGGGTGGATTAGCTTTAGGGTTAAGGTTAGTTTTAGGGTTTGGGCTAGGTTAAGGTTTATGGTTAGGTTTAGTCCTTCGGGTAGGTTTAGGTTTAGGTTTGGATTAGCATTGAGATTAGTGTTATGTTTAATGTTAGGATTAGGGTTGGATTATTTTTAGGGTTAGTTTTAGGATTAGGGTTAGTGTTGAATTATCGTTAGCATTAGGGTTATTGTTTAGGGTTAGTGTTAGTTTTCAGTTAGGTGTAGGGTTAAGTTTAGGGAAGGGTAGGGGTTAGAGCTAGGTTTAGAGTTTGGTTAGGTTTAGGGTTTTCTTATAAAGCAATTGCAATTTAATTGCACGTTTGTATAAAAACAGAAGTGTTTAAACTTTAATATATGTTACAACTAATTCAGTAGTAAAAATGAGTTCTACAACAATTAAAAAACATTCAGTTCTGTTTTAATAATCCCACTTTAGTTTATTTTGATGTTTTCTTTACCTGTAATAACATGGAGAGGGTACGGGCTATTGATGTCCAGATGTTATTCATAAAAAGTATTTAAAGCTTGTTTTGAATACAGGTGAGGACCTTACAAATATATGCATCACTTTTATTAGGATACACGTTAAAGCTGCAATTCATGTCCATACTTGCCTAACTTGAAGCATGTCCCACTGATTTTGGTGTGCCTAGTTCTCACTTTTCAGGAGTTCTTCCTGAATTCCACAGGAGCGACAAGCTTTGAAGGTGATGCCATAATTTGTTTTCCAGTGAGTGATGGTATTTATCAAATCAGAAGGAGTTAATGTGCAGTATTACTGTCTATCAACGCTAGGCATGAATTTGTTGCAACTTGTCAACAAAGCTCTTAACGTTTTGAATGAATGTTTAGTACTTGTTAAATGAATCCACAGATTACTCATGTCCCTATCTTTAGCTTCTGCTGTACAAAATGTGGGACTGTCCTGTTTGCCTAATAAAGTAAAATTAACAATCTATGTATTAGGCTTTGGAAGAAACAAAAGGAACAGAGTCAATCTGCTTCTTAATTAGTTTGGATGTCTATAACCATGGTTCCAACCTGGTTATTTTTCTGAAGACCCATTACTGTCTGGTGTTGATTTTGAATGAGTAGATAAGGTCATATTGTTCTTCTACTTTGCTTTAGCAAGTCATTTTTCTGAACTGAAGTGTGTCTCCAGCAGAACCACTGTGCTGAAGAGTCTGACGATGAGAGTTTTATTAACACTCTCCAGATGTGTCCCACCCCAAGAGAGGGATGTCCCCTTACTCATGTGACTCAGAAAAGCCACTGATAAAAAATAACATCATGCCAGGGAAATTAGGTAACAAAGATGCACATCTCACCAAACTTTTCTATCCAAGGAATTAAATGTTATGAAAACCAGTTTACACTTAGTTGTTTCTTGAATATGTAAAGCCAAGGTAAATAGCATAAAAGCTCAACAGAGAGAGAGAAAGGAGCATGTTGCTCAGTGCTTTGTCATTTTGTCATTTATCATTTTGTCTAACCGCAGCAGGATAAGCAAAGACAGAAGTTTAAAGGATTTTAAAATTCTATAGAATAGTCCCTATCAAACCAGGAGAAAATCTTCATTAACCAGGACTAATGAGCTAATGTGTGTTTTTATTGCATTCAACCACTACTAATAGCACTTTGCTGTACTCATTTATACTTAAAAAGCTATTATGTTTAAAGAATTTCTCATTAATACCTAACCATTACACTTCAAACTATTGGAGTAAAACAACAGTAATGTTTGTCTATTGTGGTAATGACTTGGGGCATACTTTCTTCTGGCTGTATTATGTCCTTCAGGTAGTCTACCTTACCTTGTGGGCTTTGCTCAAACTTACTGCAAAATAAACTCTAATTGAGAATGCTTCTATTTAATTTTGATAAATTTCTCTCTGGCTCTAAAGAACGTGTAAGGAAAAAGAGAGCAAAGCCTAGGGAATGAGGTGTAGTAAAAAGGCAATGTGATGGCAGGAGTGTTGAGCTCTGTGGTCTCTTGCAAAGAAGACAAGTTCTGTGGCTGAGATTTATGAGCTGTCATGGTTTTAAGCAAGTTACCTGGGACAACCTGGTATAATTTCAAGTGAAGATTACTCTATTCTGCAGGTTTAGACAATAACTGTAGCCTTTTGTTGAATTATCTGCAATAGTAAGATTTATAAACTTTTTGTTATCTTCGGTGTGTTAGTGGCTTTCCAAAGAAAGCAATGCATAAATGCCTGTTCCCATCTCTCCCACTAAGCCAGAAGACAGTATTTATCCCATTTGACACGAGGGTTGGTAGGTGCTTGCTTTGGTGCTAGACAGGGAAGTCTGTAAGTGTCTGTCTCCACTGTTGTGTGCCTCTGGGGAGGGAGGCTTTGTTGTTTCTACTGCTTACCCCCTTTCAGTGAAAACTGTCATCCAGGATTTTGCAACAGTGATGCGGTTCACAAGATCTTACTAAGTTTATTCATATTGATAAATTGTAACTGAAAATTATCATCTGATTCTGAAGACAGGCTTAAAACAATGAGAAAGAAGGAGCTGCTACTGCTGAACTCTAGGCAGCCTACTGGCCTTCCCTCCTAAGACATGTTCTTCAGCTGCAATCAGAATAATAAAAGTCTCTTAGGAGCATGGGATGGCTCCTGATGAAAGAAAACCCCAATACAACAGAGCTTGAATTTTTCTCATGTTGACCAGATGAGGTCATGATGGCAACGACGAAACCACAGAGTATTTGAGGTGGGAAGGGACTTCTGGAGACTGTTGAGTCCAAACCCCTGCTCAAAGCAAGGTCAGCTACAAGCTGGTTGCCAAGGGCTATATCCAGTTGGGCTTCAAATATTTCCAGAGATGAAGACTCTAAAGCCTTTCTCATCAACTTGTTCCAATATTCAAACACCCCACTAATTAAAAAAAAAAAAAAAAAGTGTTTTCTTCAGAAAGAATTTCTCACATTTCAGCTTCTGCCTGTTGCCTGTTCTCCTGTCAATAGACACCACTGAGAAGAGTCTGGCTTGGTCTTCTCTATACTTCCTGTCAGATATTTATTATAAACACTGAAAAGATCATCTCTGGAGCCATATCAATGCTGAGTTCTCACAGCCTCGCCTTGTATGAGCATTTATGTCATTTTTTTTCCCTAGACAGCACAACAGGCTTAAAGAGATAACATACAGACTGGTACGTCCTTCTAGCAATGCTAGTTTTCCTTGGTAGACTCCACAGGGTT